AAGATGAAAGACAGTGTGGGAATTCTCTTGCCAGAGAGCTTAATCAATTCACCTTTAACTTCTCTGGGTAATCTATAGAAAAGGATTTGTGCCATGGGGTAAGTCCCAGAAGATTGGTCATGTCAGATGGCACAGTTGAAAGAGCTTTCCAACTCTTCCAGAAGTGAGGCTGTTTAGAGATGAATTCAGTCAAAAAAAAAAAAAATTGAAAAAGACTTCTCTCATTTAACGGAGAAGTCCAGTATGTCCTGGAAAATGTTGTCAATGATTTCGTCTTCGTCGAGGTATTCATTCTTCAGGACGGTGAGTGTCATTTGATAATTCTTATTGCTGATATTGAGATGGTTAATCAGCAGTAAGGGCCTTCCCGAGAGCAAACATTTTAAAAAGTTCTGCCTCTCAGCATCTTTGGCTATGCCAGCTACACAATTCTCAAAACGAGATAAAAAGTCCTGAAAATTCATTTGGTCAATATGCATTTCCAGGCCACTGAACGTAGGGCCAGTAATCTGGATCTGTGGTGGTTTTACAATGAATGACGATGGACTTCTATCCATATCTGGGGAGCATAGAGACAATTTCAGAGAATCACTTGCAGCAGGGAATAATTAAGCTTTAGATCCTCAAGCTCCTTTCAGAACCTTCACAAGTATTTCAGGGATTCCTTCTTGATGTCCACTCAGCCCTCAGAAGAAGATTGAAGTTGCAATTTGTTAATGCAGATCTCTACCTCCATTAGGTAGTCTAATACATTTTTTTTTCTTTTTTTTGAAGAGCTAAAAACATCTTCACAGAGAGTTCATCCTCCTGATGAGCAACATTTAAATTTGTCCTGATTTTCAATTGCAGGAGAGAATTCCTTCTCGGTAATCCATCCCTGCTATTATCCATATCAGATACGTGTGAGAATTTTTATTTCACAAATTGTTGAGAAATGAACAATTGAAATTTCTATAGTTTCTTATAATTCTCCGCTAAAAATTTTTTTTTTTTCTACGAAAATGTCTTTTTTTCTTTTCACATATTTGTTATTCAATATTGATATAATTTCAATATAAGTCATGAATTTATAATTTTTAAGTGGATGGTAAAATAATTAAAAAAAAAATCAAGAAACCTGAAATTGAGCTTCTTTGTTTTTTTTAAATCACTTCTATTACCAAATGAATCATGAGAATTTTGCATTCTCACAACAAGAAAAACCATTTTTAAAAATGCTTATTAGGTTTTGGTTTTCTGTAAATGACTAATAATTCTATAGTGTTGAGAAAATTTTTCACAAATTGTTGAGAAGATCTCAAACCCCACAAAAATAGAGACTGGTTAGGTTGAGGAAAAGAATCAATTTCACTTACCTTAAGTTGTGAAATAAAATTCCTTTCCATGATGTAATGTGAATAATAACTTGCATAAAGTGAATGTAATGGGGAGGGGAAACAAATACATTTTCCAGCCCTTCCTTTTAACTGCTTCAGGGATCTCTTGGTAACAAAGTCACATGACCCCTGTAACTATAAAAAAAATTAGTAAAAAAATAAGAACTTTTAGTTAGTAAGAATCAAACAACCCAAGGTAAGTACATTGCTCTTCTCCTACCTGAACAATCAAATTCTCTACAATAGTGCAGCTTTCATGTTAAGGTAATAAAAATCTGGGATTTCTTATAAAATGCCATATTTCTTTAATTCTATTCTTGCTGTATTTTCAGTTCCTGCTATTCCCAGAGATTTGATCCAATCTTTGGCTAACACTTTTATTGATATATTTTTTATTTAAAAAATCAATATGAAAAAATTATTAAGCTATTTTAGTCAAGTTTATTTTGTCATTTAAAAGTGATTAAATGTATATTCCTTATATTAATAGCATAATTTGAGAAAGATTTCAAGTTAATCAAGGATTACCCCGATTTAATTTCCTTCTGCAAAAGTCAAGCTAAAGACTTTTTGTTTCCGACAATAATAAATGCTTATTTAAATAGTTAATCATTAAAATTACAAAAATCAAATGATACACATTTTTCTGCCCTAGAATTTCATGAAACTGCTTGTTTAATTAGTTTGTCATTAAACTAAAAATAAATCATTATTCTATGAAAATTAATTTATCCAAAATAGAAATTGGAAAAACTAGTTTTAGAAAAGTAAATATTTAAAAATTTTATCTTTGCTAATCATTAGTTTTGCATACACTATTAAAAAATGTAACAGTAAATGATTAGATTATTCATATAAAGTAGAAAATGTTATTATTTAGATTGTAGAATAACTTTGGGGTATTGTTTTTATTAATAAATTTGTTGGCAAAATTATTAATTTAAATTTCAAATTAACAATCTCTGATAGAATGCTGTGGTCAGTTCATTATTTTTTTTTATTTTTAAAAATACTTTTGTACTTGTTTTTTATGCATAATTTAGTTTGCAGAAGTTTGATTTTTATGAATGATAAAGTAAAGACTTCTGATAATGAATGATCGTTTCAATATCAAAACATGTGAAACTCAACCCTTGATAAACAATTATAAAATTTAACACATGTACTTCTTATAAGTGTATAGGTTTATTGAAATGTATGACATGAAAATATGCTGGTGGTAGAATACTGACATGAAAGCCACAAGGTCATCCTTGCAATTTTTTCCAAGAAGGAAGAAGAAATAACTGGAATTCTGAATGTACTCTAATATGTAATGTACTAAAAAAAAATCAACCCTAAAAGGTGTATCCTTGCAAAAAACTTCCTTATTGTTAATTCAACTAACATCATATATTGGAAGCTATTAATTGATGTTGTTATTTGCTTCTGTATTAGAATCAAAATATACTATTTTATGAGTACAAATATACTGTTATGACCAAAAGAAAAATGTAAACAGAGAATTAAAAAACAAATGTAATGTAGTTAAAATGTAAATTTTTACTGATGTATCTACAAGATACTAAGGAAAAATACTCTTTGTGCCTAATAGACAAGGTGGGAGTATTTAGTTTTTGACGAAATTTTCTGACCTCGTTTGTTAATCCCATTCTATTTATTAATTTTGCTCATTTCAACACTTTAAATGATTTTCTCAACTTTATTAAAACTACCTTCTTTATTACATATTAAGAAAAATTATAACCTTCTTGATTAAGATACCCTTTATATTATCCACGAAAGAGTAAAAACTAAATCTAAATAACCAACACTTAAAAAATGAATGTCTTCATTAATTATGTATTCATATTATCTTTTTTGATCATTTCACTCCAAACAAGGCAATAAAGCCACTAAGACACAGGAGATTACTGGCTGTGAAAGAATATATGAAAAAGAAAAACATTATTAAAGAGAGAAAAATAAAAAGAGCAGGAGTTAAGAAAATAACAATTGATTAAAATTTTTGAAGATCAAATTTGACAGGAAAGCAAAAAGCTGGAGTAGAATTTCACATATATGACCTTTGATTAAAAAGCCTACATAACAGAATATTTTTTTTTTAAACTTTGATTTGAGCTAGTTTGCTAAATAAAAAAATGTTTCTTTTATAAAAATGATACTCAAAAAATGTGCCTGGATTTCTAGTATGAAGAGTTATCATTACTTATATTACTAACAGCTGGACTAATATCCTCATAAAAACAAAAGTGAGGATATTAGTCTGCATATAAATAATGATAATTAGAAGATAAATATCCTCTATTAAACTATTTTCCTTATATGTTCTGTGTATATGCGAGTATAAGCAGTAGAGAAACTTAAGTGAAAATAGCTGGAATATGAAGATGAGTACTTTGGAGTATTCCTTTGTACAAAATACAAGTAACATGTGTCGTCTGTAATAATCATTATTTGTAGGAATTTTTCAGCTTATAGGAAAAGCAGGAAATTTCTAATTTTTGAAACAAAGATTATTATTTAAAATGTAATAAATAAATAAAGAAGATTATTTAAAATGTAATAAATATACCATCAACAATTTAAATGCAGTGTCAATAATCATCTTCTGTCTATGATCCTTTTCATTTATTGTCTTCTCAGTTTCTTTCACACTCAGTAACCCCTTGTGTCTGTAATGGCAGCCTTACCATTAACAAAAAATAAAGTGGAAATGACAAAACAACAAGTGGAGATAAGTGAAAAAGTTTTTTATTTCCTGTCATCTACAAGTTTTGATCATTTGCTCATTGTATATCAGACATAAGGGACTGAGAGTTTGTCTGGAGTGTGACACAAGATAGTAGTTGAGATAAGCATGTGTAGTCAAGTGAGATAGACTCATTAAAGAAATATTCCATGAATTATTGCATTGCAGTAGTTATGAGTTAGTCTCTACTGTTGATTTCATCACTGACCAAAAGGCATTACTGTTGATGGAAGCACTTTGGAGTTTCTGCTGATGTCATCAGCAGTTATGTAGAGTGCTGTGCTCAGTTAAGCTTGCCTACCATGGGGATCCATCATTAATACTAATCAGGTTGGATCTATCTTCATGAGTGAAATCAGCATTGACTTCATAGTCTGTCAGTGTTTCAGAAACAGCTAAAGTGAAAATCATGTGATCTTTTTCTGTGTGGTAAGGGATGTTTTATGATACTGACATTTTTGGATGGTATTCCTGAAGTGGGTGCACAGAGCTGGATGAAATTAAGCTCTTTTTTTGTCATATAAACTATACATGTCAAAATGAGCACATCTGTTTCAATTAAAAAAATGAAGTGCCGAGAGTGTACATGTCTTAGTGGCTTCATTGCTTTGCTTGGAGTGAAATGATTAAAAAAAAAATATGCCAGTACTATTTTGATATACAATCGTACTTTGAAGACATACTATCACCAGTATATCTCTAGTGTAAATCACCACTATTGACTAATTGTGTAAACACTGAGCTAATGAGCAAAGTAATAACAATAAATGCATGAAAAAAAGAAGAAAAATAATAACACCACTAATGACAACAAAGCACAATAAAACAGAATGAGAAATTGTCTCATTGTTGATCAAGGCTTATGGTCACATGTTGAAACACCTGTTCCCATATGATCACCAAAGTTAAGCAACATTGAGTCTGGTCAGTAACTAAATGTGTGATTGCTTGGGAATACCAGGAAACTACAAGCTTGGATATGCAAGTGATGTAATGGATAATGGCTCAGATAATTAATTGAACAGACAAGTTCAAGTTCTCGTTGGATTTATTATATTCACTTGAGAAAGGTATGAATCCACTTCTTCTCCCCCAGCTATGGGTTAATTACTAAGACTTGTATCACTAAACCATTATTATCTCTATAAAAATTCTTGCAATCTGAAAATATTTTCTGGCTTTAAATAACCTGTAATGCGTTGATAAGCCATAGAAAAATAAGCATGCAAAATAGTCAATCATTATTAATCAAAAACAAAAATTAAAATGTTGACTAATCAATAAAAAAAATTAGTAATAAAAAAAAAAACATTGAAAAACTGTACTGAAAAGTTTTAATATCATTTTATTCCCCAAATTTTCTATGCAAAGATTTTAGTATAAAGTTATCATAAATAAAAAATGTCATTTGCTGTTAATATCATTTGAGAAAATAACTTTTTTATTTTAATTGAAATAAAATATTTCCAAATAATTGCCATATTCTGAACAAGATATTTGCAGATATGGAAAAACAAAAAAAAACTTAAGTAAAAAGAAATGAAAGTAAAAGGCAAAATAAAATAAAGCATGCAGCTCCACACCAAAAATAATTTGATTATTATATTTCAATATTCAATGTATATTTATTTAATTGATGCTGATTCCTTTAATATTCCTATTTGTTTCTTTTAATAAATTTTCAAAATATGATTTCATAAAACATTTACTACTTAATAAGTCTTTGCCATTTCTTTCAAAATCTTGTTAAACGTTTCATTGCAGAATTATCCCCAAATTTGGCAGTTACCAATTTTCATTTAATATTAAAAATTTATTATTATCATTACTTGATTCTAAGAGTTGTTTGACTGTTTACATTATAATAGTCCACATATAAATGTGGACTATTATCCTCATCTTTGTTATTATAACAACATCTTGGACATTGTACCCTACATCTTTCATCAGGTGTTTGTTGGTAACATACAGAGAATTTCAAATTGAACTCTATATTTAATATATGGGTTAGATTGTTTTCATTTCACTGCCCATGTCTTGGAATATCTTGTCTAGTTTTTTATTTACTACTGCTAACTTATTACTCACCCTATTTCCAGTGATTCTAAATACACACTGCCTAACACAGGGATTGATCTCACAATTATTATATAAACAATTTCATGAACCAATGCTTTAATCCACTAGACTATGATAAACTCTGATTCCAGAAATTCAGATAGAAATAAAAATGATTTATTTTAATATTATTTATCATTATTTGAATTTCCTTTACATGAGTAATTTCTAAATTCCTTCCCCAGAGATCAAGTGACAGGAATTTTTCTTTTTTAGTGCTTCAACACATTTCCCAGGATTATCGCTGATTTTGATAAGATTATCATCAAACTGGATTAAATTATTACCCAAATTTTAAATTGTTTCATTCATTTGCAAATCTTCTTCATTTTTTTATTCCTTTACTGTTTCAAGTTTACAGCTATTGATGAGTACGATTTCAGCAAAAAAAATCAAATGCTTTTGCAAAATGATTGAAATCTTTATATTCCATAATATTTTCATTTTTCTCTCAATGTAAATATATTTATCCAGCTTTTCAGTCTCATTCCTCCATATTCAGCTGAAAAAAATATCTACAATTTGAATGATTTTTTTGTTGTTTTTTGTTTAAAATATGATTTTTGTCTCCTGTCGCTCGATTAGTTGGATGAACTGTTTGAATTTCAAAGACCAAAGAAATTTTTACTTTTTTATTCTATACTTTTGATTTGTGCTTTATCATTATTTCTTTATGCAAGTCATTGAATTTTATTGGTAAACTCGGTTAAAAAAAGAAACAAGTTTGTAAATAAAAATGATTTTCAACTATGAAAATCCTCATTGTATTATAAGTAAATTAGAGTTTCACATATTAAATAAATAAATGTTGTTTGATGATAGACTAAGCAACACAACTGATCACTGGATGACTTTGAGAAATTTCAAAGATCACAATCCATTTAAATGTCAACAAAACAATTGTTTATAATTAGTGAAATTGTCAACAATAATGCCTCCTTTCTTTTTGTGACAAAAATTGTTACTTTTGTTAGTCCCTTATACTGCAATACCATATATTTTTCTTAATGGTGGAACTGTTTTGAGTAAGAACTTAGAAGAAAAAAAATGGTTTGAACATTTCTTATTCCTAAGTCATCTACTTTTAAAGAAATATGATTGCATATCTGGGTAATCAGTTTTTATAATCAAACTATTTTCTTTTTTCATTCTCATAATCATGTATTACTGCTCATAGGTGATTGAAATTTTACATAAGCAACCTTTTTACGTTAAATGAAAAAAATTTATTTCTGAAAAATGGGTTGCAACATTCTTGCAATAATATGTTAGCTTTTTCACCCTCTATGTTAAAACACAGTTGATCCATTGAGTTCCATAATAGCTGTAACAGATCTTGAGCAAGTCTTTCAATAAACACTGCAGACTGTACAAAAGAAGCCTGCAGAGTTTAAAACAAAGCATTCCTTGAGGAATAAAAAAAATTTTTTTTTAAAGTATTGAAAAAGTGAACTTATTTGAAAGATGATTATTTTTTGTATCTTCCTCTCTTTTAACATTTAAAGAAATTTAAAATGACAATAGAGGAAGCATAAAAAAAGAAAACAAGAAAAAAGGTTACTCTTTTAGTATTTTATGAGCAGATTTTTGATCTTTATCTTGTGATTTTTAAAAAATTTTGTTATCATCTGATAAAGATTTGAAAATTGCTGTTTCAAAAATATCTGCATTATTCGAATATGACGTAACAGAGAGCAATCTCCATTTACAGCAGTAATTGCTTTAACTTGTTATTTTAAGCAAAGTAATCAACAGTACATGTCATCAGAATGAAATACTAAAGTAACCAGTTAGTTAAAAAATGTTGATTTAAAAAATAAAAAATGTTGATGCATTTTTATAAACAAATACCATTCAGATTTAAAACATTACATAATGTTTCACAAACTTAATTAAACAACTTATGCTCTTTATTCATAACTTCCTTGTTGTGATGTTCTACAGCAAAAAAATCAAATGCATGTACCAGAGAAAACATTGCTTCCTTCAACTTTTCAATGAAAATTAGCATCATTTTAAATCACAGAAAGCACTATAGTTTGTAGCTTGAGCAATTTTTTCAATGAATGGATATTGCACTTAAATTCAACAGGGATCAACATCAGATTGTTTATTTATATAATAACTGTTCTTATATGATTTGTATATAGCACAAGTTTATGTAATATATATATATATATATATATATATATATGTTAAAAAACTGACATCTGTTGACAATTTGCAGTTTTTGTCTTATGCATAATAATAAATTCAAGTCATTTAAAAATGATTGGAAATTATCAACTGAAATATTGTGTTCAATATTTTACCAAAAAAAGAGATGAGTGAACTAGTCAATAAAAAAAATTCTCCTGAGATCAAAACAATAAGTTTATTATTGTTTTTATTTTGTTTCTCATGTGTCCAATAATTCCTCTTTTAATGCTTATTGCATGTTTAGATTCTCAATAAGAAAAACCAAATGGAAAATTTAGAAAATGAAATAGTCTGTTATTATTTGCAAAATACAAGAGATGAAAAAAAGTTTAATTGTAAAGAAAGTATAAAATAAATGAAAAAGACACATGAAAACATAGTTTATATATATATATATATATATATATATATATATATATATATATATATATATCTTTTCATGACCCTTTTAATTGTTGAAAGACAAAAATTGAAAAGAAAAACAAATGCTGCACAAATACTCAATACTTACACAACTGTACATGCAACAACAGTAGATCTATGTAACCTTCTTTCTTGCAATTTACAAACTAAAAGAAAATAGAAATATTATTTATGTAAAACATTAGAAAGAAACCTTTTGAAGTTAATTTGATTTCTTTCTTTCTACTACTCAAGTAAATGTCACAATTGGCCAACAGTCTATCTGATTGAAACAATAATGGTAAAACTAGGCAAGAAAAAGGATGATCATGATTCTATTATTTAATGTATTGGTCAATATGCGGACTTCAGTTTGATTGTTATGGTTGTCAAGGGTGGACAGGTCGTTGGATCCTATTCTTTGGCAATAATACTGGGATGTTAGAAATAAATACTACATTAATATGTATTTCTTCAAAGTGAAGTGTTAGCCAAATAAATACTTTGATCTCACTCTGTTTCCAATTTTGTTCTTTTCTTTCAGACTCTTGTTTGTAAAAACTTTAATATGCTTGAAAAAATGTATTTATTCTTTTCCATATTTTTACAGCAATGCATGAATAAGTTTCATAGCAGGTGTAGATAGGTTCACACACCACCCCAGTCTTTTGAACAGGAATAGAGGTTTATCCCTTGTTGTCTGTTTAGGACTGGGTTTTCAGTTTCTCCTAAATTCTTTCTTCATTTTCTTTCAAATCTAGTAGCCTCTTGTGTCTTAGTGACATTATCACACCACTTTGTGTGAAGTGATTAAAAAAAGCAAAATTTCCACAAATTTAACAGTTCCCCATTTTCTTTTAATAATGAAAATTCATTATTATCATTATCTGATTTTAAGAGTTGTTTGAACTCTGAGAATAAAATTGACTTCTTACATTATTTATATGTAGACTATTGTCCTCATCTTTGTTGTTATTATTAGAACAGCTCATAATCAAACATAATAGTCATTTGTTGTTTGTTATATTTAACAATATATGTTTGAACAATGATCTGCTGCCCTAATACAATACATATATTAGGTGGAAATTAAAAACTTCCCGGACTTGTTATGTTTAAAAAAAAACGTAATATATTTATGTAAGTTTTAATGTCATCTCCTTCAAAATGGTGACATTGTGCAGCAATACACTGGTCCCAGTATTTCTGCCACTTTTGGAGTCCAGACTGGAAGTCATTTTTTGTAAGT